GCGGGGGCGCTCAGACAGGGGGGGGGCATGGCTAATCGCGAGCTGATCGATAGCTTTACGCGACAGCCAGACAGCACGGGCAAGGGCAGCAGCGGCGGCGGACTCACGGTCAGCAGACGTGGGGTCAGCGGGGAGAGCAACAGGGGGGTCGGGGCAGGGGAGCGTACCGTCAATGTGGACGACCAAGGAGTGGTCGTCCTGCCGTTGACCAATGAGGTGACGGCGGAGGTCGACGAGCAATGAGTCGTACTCAATCGGCTGACCCTCCGCATCAAAGCTCAGCACCGAGTCCGCCATGAAGGCCGCTGCAGCCGCGAACAGGCAGTGAAGGAGTGACGAGGAGCAGTGGGGAGGAGTGCTGTACGGTGCAGTGTGATGGTGTGTGGAGGGGCGCCGTGAAGTGCAGTGCCACACGATGTAGAGCGGTGCAGTGCGGTGGGGCATGGTGCAGTGCGGTGCAGTGAGGTGGGGCACGGTGTAGTGTGGTGCTAAGCGGTGCAGCACGGTGGGGCGCGGTGCAGGACGGTGGAGAGGGCTGGTGAAGCGGGCGGGGATAGGGGAACACGGCGGCAGAGCCGCTGGGAGACGGGGCCGCGGGGTGGCCGGGCAACGAGGCCGCGGGGCGGCTGGGCGACAGGGCCGCGGAACAGCGGGGCGACGGGTCGCGGGGCGGCTGGGCGACGGGGCCGCGGAGCGGCTGGGCGACAGGGCCGCGGGGCGGCTGGGCGACGGGGCCGCGGGGCGGCTTGGCGACGGGGCCGCGGAGAAGCGGAGCGAGGGGTCACGAGGCGGCTGGGCGACGGAGCCGCGGAGCAGCGGGGCGACGGGGCCGCGGGGCGGCTGGACCACGAGGCCGAGGGGCAGCTGGGCTACATGGCCACGGGGCGGCTAGGCGACGGGGCAGCTAGGCGACGTGGCGGCTAGGCCACAGGGCAGCTAGGCGACGGGGCGGCTGGGCGACGGGGCGGCTAGGCCACGGGGCGGCAGGGCCACGGGCGGCTGGGCGCTAGGTGATGGGGACGCGAGGCGGCTAGGCGCTCGGTGGAGGGGCAACAGGGCCGCGGCCTAGGCGCTAGCTGACGGGGCCGCGGGGCCAGCGGGGCGGCTAGGCGCTGGGTGATGGGGCTGCGGGGCCACGGGCGCCTAGGTGCTAGGGAACGAGGACGTGGGACCAGGGCTGACGTTTCAAAAAAAAGCACCCTGAGCTGTCGAATGGGAAAAAAAAATTACCCTGAGGGCCTTGTGTTGAAATTTTGGCTTCCCTAATTTCTCAGTGTTCTGGAACATGCAACCCTGAAACCTCTAGGGTTGGCTAGCCACAAACAGGGTTGCTTCGCACTTGCAAAAAATCAGTTAAGAGAACGTTAGGATTGTACAGCTAGTAGTTTAGCAAAAACACCACTACGCCAGTCTACAAATTCAGTTAAGTCCTCTATCTAGTCTATACTTTACAAGATTCCACGCCACTAGCTACCGTTAACTAAAATTGTGGGCCATCCATGTTCACATCGTCCTCTGCCTCGTCATCGGACAGAAACGGGTTGTCTTCCACTTCAGGAGGAGCCTCTCCCCCCTCTACCCCCTCCTCTCCCTCATCCTCTGCCCAATCCCCCATGTAGTCGGGGATTGCCTCCTCCTCCACCCTCCCTTCTGCCCCCTCAATCGCCTTGGCCTTACGCTTCCTCTCCACTGAGGCAAACAGAACAGATTTAGCAGGGCGCCTCAGCTTCTCGCGCCAACACTCAAGGGCCTCGTCCTAGTCAATCTCATACTGCAGCAGGGAAATGACCATCAGCTCGCTCAGGCGCGCATTGCACAAACGCGCCCCGCACCCATGACTTGATGACGTTCTGCCGCGAGAAGCCTCGTTCACACTCCACTGTGCTAAGTGGCACGACAGCGCACGCCTGCCACAAGCGCATGAGGTTGGGCCAACGCCTGCCAAAAGGGTTGAGGGAACAGAGTGCAAAGAACAAGACCAGTGCATTAGTGCAACTAGTCAACAAGCGATAAACAACAACTTCCAATGGGAAGATTAGAACCGGCAAGAAAATATGCAACAAACGTCCTTCGAACAGCAGTCTCTCACAAGGTCGACTCCGTCGAGCCGAGGTAGTTCGTCAGTCCTTGATGGAATCCCTCGTCGGCATGGTAGCTCAGCATCAGTGGCGCCCACGTAACCAGCTCCTTCTGCGCAGCTTGCAAGGAAAAGCATGTCAGCCTGTTGTCGAAAAAGGCACTGCAGCCTTGTAGGTACTCCTTCAGCTTCTTCTCTCTCTGCTGCTTCATCCGGGGCCACTTCGATACGCAGAAGAGCTTCGTCGGGCCGAGATTGTTGAGGTCCAGCATCCTCGTCTTCAGGAAGCTTGTCGTGTCCTTCGCGAACTGCGCGCAGAGCCGCTCGCAATCGGGGTACTTGCTGCGGAAGGCATGCCCGTCGATCTGCTTCTCGTGCATGGTGTAGGTGTGCGTGACTGGGCTGCCGTCCTTGTCGATGCCCCGCACCTTTACGCGTTTGTTCCTTCCGTGCCCGTAGACAGCCAAGAAAGCCGAAAGCCACGTGCCTTCGACCCCCCCACCGAACACCTCTCCGCACTCCAGGTAGCGGTGGCGGAGGTCCCCTGTCGCCTCATCGATGTCCTTCGTCACTTCGATGGCATCGACCTGGTGGAACTGACAGACAAGGGAGTGGACTCAGAGGGTGATTCCAAACATGCATGCATGGTACAATTACTACAACATGCACAGTGGTAGAAGCTCACCTCCCTCTTCTGGAATTTCAGGTTGAGATCATTCATCACTCCGAGCACGTCCGCCAGGAAAAAAAGACAGAACTGGAACTTGTAACAGATGACGACTTCATACAGCTCATGCCCGTACTCATGAAACAGAATAATAGCGGTGCCAACGACCTTACAGAGGTGCCGTACAGCCTCACCCCTTGAAAGCCAGCGCACGGTGTGAATTCCTTGCACTTCAAGGTTGGTGTTGTGTATTGCCCGCTGCAGGTACTTGAAGCGTTGACTCCAGACACATGAACGTCCCAGAAGATCGGCCAGAGTTCGAATCACAAGGTCGACCATCTCGAAGTCTGGAGAAGCAGTGGTGGCGTCCTTCACCGCCAAGGCTTCCCTGCATGGTGCACACAAAGGAATTTTAGTCAAGCAGTTGTAGGAAACCTAAGCAACTGAAATGACAAGCAGTTAAACCTGTGCGCGATGCAATGCAAAGAGACGAGATGGGGGATGTGCTCGCGAAGTCGGGCGACGAGACCATTGTCTCGGCCGACCATGACAGAGGCGCCGTCGGTGCTCATGCCGGTGATTCGGGAGAGGTCGATGCCAGTTGCTCACAAGTGAGCCAAAAGAACGGCGAGGAGAGACGCGGCGTCGCACTTTTTGACAGTCAAGAGAGCAAAAAACTCTGTGACAACACGATGCGCACGCAAGAAGGTTAGATAAACAATCAAATGTTTACCGCGAGTACGATCAGTGCTCTCGTCGCAGCTGATGCCAAGGTAGGGTGAGGCGAGAATGTGTTGCATTTGTCGGCGCTGCAGGTAGGATGCCAAGCTGTTGACGAGCTGACAGAAGCCATACCTGTAGTAGCAGAAGTAGCAACATGGTGTTTGTTAGAACTATTAAAAAAATGAAGGATATGGTGTACTTCGAATCAGTGCATTACCGTCTCAGGTAGCCTCCGTAAGACTGCAGCGGAATGTCCGGGGTCTCCTACTACCGCATCGCTTGCGTCTGCAGGTCACGTGCCCCGTCGCGGCCGTTGGAGTACGGTGTTATCTCTTTGCCGAAAGCCTTGCACACACTGCACTTCAACGCAGGGTAACTGTCTTTCGTTTTCGTTAGCAGAGGCCAAGGGAAAAATGGAAGCCAGCTGGTCTTATACTTGTGCTCAGCCATGAGATACTTCTGCTCGATGAGTTCTTTCTTTGAGAGCTTCGGCGGCTCGGGTTCTGGAATAGCAGGGGCCTGATGTTCAGGCGACGTGCGAGGCGGCGACGGTCGACGTAGCTTCCCGCCGAGGACTATCGTGCTTTGGGTGTACTTCCCGATGCGTGCCTTTTTCCCAGATGAAATCATGGAAGCATACTCGACCGTGTAACGGCCGGTCGTGGCTGTCTCGCAGTCCGGAACCCAAGGGCCCCGGCTAGATGAAGCGACAGCGGGCGGAGGTACATAGGGAGCGGGAGTAGATACGGGTTGTGATGGTGTAACGACTGCGGTGGGAGACCGCAAGATGTCTAGAGCGGATCGACGGACCTCCACGGGGGGGTCCCTACCTAGTCCAGAACCATTATCGGCAGCGGGAGACTCACCAGACTCTCCTACATCCGCCATGGCTAGTAGCGGCGGATACGATCGAAACGAGAAATCGACGCGACGTAAGTGGACGAGAAACACGAATGGAGCATCTCGTATCTGCGACGTGAAGAGGAGGAAACTGGGTTGGTGGAGAAGCTGGTGAAGAAGATGGGAAGGGGACCAAGAAACCCCAGATTTCGATTTTCATGAACGGTGCATAACCCATCCAAGATCCCGCATCGCCATGGCGATACCGTCAACGGCGGGACGCACCTGCGCTGGCATCGTCTGCACAGAGATGATTGGCGCTGTGATGTCATACAAAGGCTGACATTGCAGCGCTCAGCATATTCTGTCCTTGTCTGCTGCGTGCTGAGTCACGAATGCCAGGCTGGGGCATGACGGAGTGCACCTTCCCATATTTAACGGTTGGAAATGTTGCTGCAATGGCAACATACTGCGTGTACACGGTGGGAATGTTGCCAAGTGCAGATTCTCCACGTGACGCATGCTAGGCGTATTCAATGGACTGGGACCCGTCACGCGTAAGGGGGTCATTTCGCCGAAACTCAGGGTCCGCATGGATGTCGCATTCAGGGTTCGTACGCGTTACTCCCTGAAAACTCAGTTTTTGGATAACGCAAACCCTGAAATTCTAAGTGTTCATAGACATACTATTGGGCTGAGAAAAAGCCCTTAGGATCTTTTCAGAGACTAAGTCCCAGCTGTGAAGACTTGAGACTTTGAGTAGTGCAGCGGAAGTTGAGACGGTTGAACCCTTGTACTAGTATGTGAGAACAAGTGATTTATTAAAGAAACAAGCATACAGCAATATATAGAAGATAAGAAAGCAGTTGTAGAATACAGTTACAGGAACGGTTTATCGAGTCGCACAGCGACTCGATTGCCGCTTCGGTTACCATCCGTGATGTTGTAACGGTCAGTCGTAACCTCCAGTCGCGACCTTTCGAGTCTTTTCGCATTCTTTGTCCGCCCCCTCGTGCAACCTCCGTTGACTCGCGTGCTCCCCTGTAGTCTTCCTCGAGTGCAGTGTTATACTTCAGAAACGCTTAAGTCCTTTGAGATATTTCCAACACTCCCCTTCGTTTCTGGAGTGCTGGCGTGTTCAGATCCGGTGACGTTTGTTTGCCCGGTCAGGAGCATGCAGTAGTCGAATTTTGCTTTCGCCAATTTCTTCGTCAGATAATCTGCGGCCATTTCTGTCGTCGGGCAGTAACTGAGTTGAAGTCTCCCCTTCGCGATTTCATCCTTGACGAAGAAGTACCGCAGGGCGATGTGCTTGGTTCGGTTGGCGAAGCCGTCCTTGTTCGCGATTTTGATCGCAGATTGGTTGTCGCAGAGGAGTGAGAAGGCAGGCAGGGTCGCGATCTTCGCTTCCTCGAGTAACTCCCGCAGGTAGAGTCCTTCCTTGGTCGCAGTACAAAGGGCGATATACTCTGCTTCAGCCGAGGATAGTGCGATTAACTCCTGCTTGCTCGACTGCCAGGAGATAGTTCCGATGGGTTCTAGTCGGTAGATGTAGCCCGTCCTAGATCGTCGATTTTCCCTATCTCCCGCGTGGTCGGCGTCGACGTATCCGAGTAGTCGTACGGACGGTGTTGTCGCTTTGCTGTAGGTAAGCCCGATCGTCGGCGTGGAGACAAAGTAGAGTAGTGCCCGGTTGAGCTCCTCAAGATCTTCCTGTTCCGGTTGCTTCAGATGCGCCGCCAGTTGACTCGCACTATAGGACAGGTCGGGTCGGCAGGTTACTGCTGCGAATAGTAGGCAGCCGAGCTTCTGTTGATACTCCTGGATTTGCTTCGCGGGGAGTTTTGCGAAGGTGCTGTTGTTGTTCCCGTAGTGGTAGGGGGTTGGGACAGTAGTCGGTGTTAAACCGAATTTCTTCGCGACGGTGCCTGAGTACTTTCCAGCGTGTAGGTAGAACGCCGTGTCGTTTTCGTCGACATTCAGTCCTAGGTACTGGGTCACTTCGTCGGACACCGTGAGTGTTAAGTCTTCTTTCAGCTCCCGTTCGAACCAGGTGGCGATGTCGGTAGTGGAGCCGATGTAGAGCAGGTCGTCGACGTAGACGATGAGTAGGATATACTCTCTTCCCTGCTGCAGTCGGTACATTCCTTGGTCATGCGGCAGCTGTAGGAATCCGATTTTTGCGAGACGGCCGTGGAGATGCTGCTGCAAGAGCCGCGGGGCTTGCTTGATCCCGTATAAGGATTTTGTCAGTTGGCATACTTTCGTGGGGTCGTTGATGAATCCGTGGGGTTGTTCGACGAAAATCTCGGCGTCCACAGGTGCGTATAGGAACGCATTCGCGACGTCGATTTGGCGTAGTGGTAATGTCTTCGTGGCCGCGACGGCGAGTAGGATGCGTAATGAGGTGTGACGGGAGACTGGAGCGAAGGTTTCTGTGTAGTCGGTCCCGTATCGTTGATCGAACCCTCGTACGACCCATCGAGCTTTGAATCGTTCGATGGAGCCGTCTGAGTTGGTCTTAATGCGGTACACCCATTTCCCCGAGAGGACGTTTTTCCCGTTGATGCTTGTTGCAGGTACCAGTTTCCATGTTTTCCGGTCTTGCAGAGCCTTTAACTCCTTTTCCATCGCTTCCTTCCATTTCGCCTTATATTCCCCCCCCAGAGCCTGCGACAGGGTCGAAGGCTTTCGCGGTGAAGGCGGCGGCGGATGCTGGACGGAGACCCAGAGGCCTAAAATCTGCAGTCCTGTGGGTGTGTGTCGAGGGGAATTTTCATTCCCGGAATAAGCTGCTTCGTCACCGTCTTCTGGGTCAGGTAAGAAGTTGGGACCGATGCGTTCTGAAACATTTGTGTCGACTGGGTGGGGTGTAATGTAACCTTGGTCAGCGAAGTGGTAAAAGGTGTCGAGGTTGTTGCTATCGAGAGGATTGTCTTCGTCGAGTGGAACAGGTACGGAACAGAATGGGAGTGGTCCGGCAGCTTCCGAGGCTTCAGGTACGTCTTCTTCTGCCGCGTCAGCTTCGGCAGCACGGTCGGCGAAGGAACGGAGTCCGGAGAAGCCGTCGGTGGGGTCTTGTGTGTTGGCCATGTTGTCCAGGTAATGGTGCAGCGTCAGTCGCTCGTAGAAGATAACATCACGTGATGCCACGGTATTTTTGTCTTGTATGTCGAGAATTTTCCACGCGTGAAAATGTTTGGCGATGCCGAGGTGTAGTCCCCACCGAGCTCGTTGTGTGAAGCGTCCTGCTCGGGCTGTCTGGGGTCTGTACTGTACCATGCAGCCGAAAACTCGTAGTAATTTTGTGCTGCCCCTTTTTCTTGTCCACAACAGGTGCGGTGATGCGTTGTTGGGAAGCGATGACGAGGACAGCAGGTTGTGCAGGTGAACTGCATGTGTTATCGCGTCTGGCCACAGTGTGGTGGTCAGCCTCATTCCCAGAAGCAGTTTTCGCATCGTCGTCTGCAAGGTCCGGTTCATGCGTTCTACGACCCCCTGCTGCTGGTGAGCATAGGGCAGAGACACCAGGCGTCTGATTCCTCTTTCCGCCAGATAGGTCCTGAAGCGTTGTGACTGGTATTCCAGTGCACCGTCTGACTGGAAGCTCTTGAGCTTGGTTCCTGATTCTCGTTCGGCGATGGGAAGCCACGTTGTGAAGGCGTCGAAAGCTTGATCGCGCGTCTTGAGATTGAAGTGCCAGACGTATCTAGTTGCTGCGTCGATGAACGTGATGACGTAGTTGAAGTCGGCTTCGGTGTCTTCTCGAGGCATGTTTAAAATATCGCTGTAGACTTTTTCCATCGGAGCGTAGGTAGGTGCGCTTGGGTTGTGATGAGATGGAAAAGGCTGATGGGGAAGATCTGCTTCGGGGCACGTGAAGCACCGTGCTCGTGGTCTTCGAAGTTCTTGGCCGCTCGTCGTTAGGAGGGCGTTGCGTTCTAACACCTCTACTTGGATTGTTTGTAGTATCGTGCTGTTTGCAGGATGCCCGAGGCGTTGGTGCCAGATGTCGTCGGAAGCGCGATGACCCGGCGAGCGGTGGTATATGTCGGCGTTGGAGAAGAACGCGACGACTGTGGCGGGACTTCGACAAACTTCTCGTGTGATGGGCATAAGTTGGTCTGCTTCGGTTGGCGGTCCTCGGATCGCCGGTGGTGGGACTCGGCTGGGTCCTGCTGCTGCTACTGCAGGTGATGGTTTGGTTGGGATACTCGCGGGTACTTGTCTTTCTTGTCTGATGACTGCTAATGCTCGTGTTCTTTCTGCTGCAGGTATGGTGTTGGAGTGCCAGAAGCCGTCACTGTCGAATTCTGGATCAAGATCCGGCGGGTGTGTCCAGGCTGCGAATGATACGATGCCGTCGCTGTCGGCAGTACCGCGGTCGGGGACGAAGTCCAACACGAAGATGCCGGATTTCAGGAGGGCACGACCGATGAAGAGGCCACCCTTTCCGTGGTATAGCCGAAACTCGTTGGAGTAGGAGTCGCACTCCAGGTGAATCCCCTTGGCCATTAGTTGGCTTACGCTTAGTAGGTTGTATCCCAGGTTGTCGACAATGAGCACTTTGTTGAGCTGAAGTATGACGTTTGTCTCCATGGATTGTAACTGAACCACGCCTTGTCTGTTTGTCTTCAGATTTTCGTTGTTGGCGACGATGATGACGACGTCGCGGTTGAGGCGTTTCTCCTGTTGCACGAATCGTCCCGAAGAGCACATGTGTTGCCCGCAGCAGCTGTCCAAGAACCAGGTGTTTCGCCCGGTGGGTTCGGCGTTGGCGACCGCAGCATATGTTGGATTGACTTGAAGGCCTTGTGAGCGCGGTGGCAGGAGCTCTTCTTCGTCTGGCGCGTAAGTGGGTGGTGAGCCGGGTGCGCAGTTGTCGATGTGTACCATGCAATTGATAATGTTTGGTGTCTGTTGTGCAGATGTTGAAGAGCGTCTAGGGGGACTTGCTTGAGTGGAAGCGACTTGTGGGTCTGCTGGACGGTAAACGCGAGGGCGGTTGCAGTTGACCTTGGAGTGCCCGGAAGTCTGGCAGTTGTGGCAGAACGGCGGCACGAAGGTAAATCCCCTGTTGTCGCGTTCTTGCTTGCCGCGTCGATTGTAGGTGTTGTCGTTTCTTCGTTGAGTGTAGAAGACTAACTGCTGCTGCTTCCTTGGTTGTCTTTCTTCAAACAGGTCCATCTCCTGTTGTTCAGCGTGAAGCTCGGCGCAGAGGTGCATCTCCGAAATCCTTCCGTGGGCGCGAAGAAGCGATCGTGTGGTTCTCCATTCTGGCCCGAGCCCGGCGAGGACAAGTGTCACGAAGCTTTCTTCAGTGATTGTTCCTCCGCACCGAAGCAGGCGGTCGCGGAGGGTCTGGCAGCGGCTCATATACTGCATCGCCTTTTCCCCGGTCTTCATTTGTATTGTTGTCAGTTGTTGATGAGTCTGCTTTGTGTCACGCTGTCGTTTGCTTGGTAGAGGCACTTGAGATGGTGCCATGCGAGCTCCGCGGAGTTTCCATAGCTCCTGTATGTTCTGATGCTCTGCTGTTCTTGTGGTGACAGGTTTCTCAGGAGAACCGTATACGCCAGCAGCGACTGATACGTGAAGATTTCTTGTTCCTTTCCAGTGCCGTTGCTTGGGAATGGCAGGGACCCGTTGAAGTATCCCAGAAGGTGCGCAGCCTCCATCAGCAGCTCGAACTCGAAGCTCCAGGTAAAGAAGTCGTGTCCGTTGAACGGTGAGGATGTCTGCAGTTTAATCACGTGTGAAAACTGCGCCTGGAGACTTAAGATTTCGTTTGGTGTTTGTTGTGATGCAGCTGCTGTTGGTTGGGCACGGGGCGGCATGAACTCGAACGTCCCCGGTGAAGAGTGATAAGGCGCAAAGGTAGGCGCTTGATTGTGTCGCCCAAACGATGAGTTGTCGAGGCTCATCGGCGCTAATCCCATGTTTCCTCCATTGCTCTGTGTTGAATGCGCAGGTGTCCTTGTCTGCTGCTGCTGGTCGAAGTGCGACATGAAGTTGAAGAACCTTTCCATAAGGTTGGGGTCCACGCTTGAAGAGGGAGATGGAGTCACCATCTCTGGTACTCTTCCCATTGTTTCTTGAGCAGTCCCGGTCTCTGTCTGCAGTCCTGAGGTGTGCAGACCAGAGTTGCCGTGTTGAGTTTCTTGGCCGCTGGGTGAGCCCGTAGAGACTTTCTTGCCCTTGCTGTCCATGTCTTGTGATCAATGAAGTCGTTGAATTGAGTTGAGTTGCAGGTTGATGGAGCGCAGTTGCTGGGAGTTTGGTCTCTGACCAACTCTCATACCATATTGGGCTGAGAAAAAGCCCTTAGGATCTTTTCAGAGACTAAGTCCCAGCTGTGAAGACTTGAGACTTTGAGTAGTGCAGCGGAAGTTGAGACGGTTGAACCCTTGTACTAGTATGTGAGAACAAGTGATTTATTAAAGAAACAAGCATACAGCAATATATAGAAGATAAGAAAGCAGTTGTAGAATACAGTTACAGGAACGGTTTATCGAGTCGCACAGCGACTCGATTGCCGCTTCGGTTACCATCCGTGATGTTGTAACGGTCAGTCGTAACCTCCAGTTGCGACCTTTCGAGTCTTTTCGCATTCTTTGTCCGCCCCCTCGTGCAACCTCCGTTGACTCGCGTGCTCCCCTGTAGTCTTCCTCGAGTGCAGTGTTATACTTCAGAAACGCTTAAGTCCTTTGAGATATTTCCAACACATACAACCCTGAAGAGGTTAGGGTTAAAAAAAGCCCAACCCTGAAAATTAAGGGTTGGCCAAAAAAATACCCTGTGAAATCAGGGAATCAGGGTAAAATACCCTGATAACGACAGCCCTGTGTGGGACCAGCAAGGCAACGGGGCAGCGGGGCCCGTGGGGCTAGGCGCTAGGCGCTAGGCTAGGACCTAAGGCGGAAGCGCTGGTGGGCGGGGGGGACCTAACCTACTCCTAATACCATCTCAGAGTTATGTGAAATAGAATGAGAATATACAGGGGTATATAGCTAGTGGGTTGTACTCTCTATTGCAAGCCCCTATGTAGTCTACTAAACATACACAAATATGTTTGACAGGATCTACTTTTCGTGCACTGCCGAACCGGACCGCACTGATTGGACATTTTAGACAAATGCACTGCACTGTACCACGCGCGTTGGATTGGATCCAACTTCGTAGGAATCCAGCCTAAGATTGGCTGGTATCCTTGTCAACTTGCCGTTTCTTGTGTTTCTTCTTGCATGGCAAATGTGCGCTTCGTATTGCTCAATAAATGTAGATTGCACTTGTGGCTAAACAAGGCTTTGTGAGGTGAAGAGGATGGGACAAGGCCTTGGGTGGAGGCAGCTGGGAATGGTGAACCTTAAGACAAAAAGCGCATTTTTCACAGCCTTTGCACTGCTCTATGAAAAGAGAAACCCGTGGAAATTGGCAAGCAACCACACCAACCCCTCTCTGCAGGCAACTAAGCAAAATGGCACCAGCAACAAAATAAAAGTTTCTGCTACCGCCCTTCTGGCCATCTTGACTTGGCAGCTCTGCTTATTACCCTTTTCAGGGGTCTCTGGTCCGCTGCAGCTGCTTACAGATCCAACTCTTCCACCGGAGAAACCTTTCTTGAAGGGTCGGACAATCAAACTAGTACGGCACGGGCTGTGCCACATAGAGGCTGAAAAAAGGTGTGGCAGGGGAGGCACGGAGGGAGGGGGATGCCTTTTAAGCTGTTACAGAGTGGGCAGCTTCCAGTGAGGAGGAAGGGAGGACGAGGAGGACAGCAGGTGGGAACAAACAGAAGAGTTGACGGAGTCACGGAAGGGGGAGATGGATGGAGGAAGTAACGGTGGAAGCACCTAAATTCTGTTCCCACCCGGTGTCACAATCCGTGTTAATCATGAAACCATCCAGATGCGGTTCTCTAGCCGTGCAACAAGCTGGCCCACCAAACACACAGACATACACATGCATGCATGCGCGGCGTCCCTTTTCCCGGGCGCAGCAGGTCCATGGCGCACGAGGCGTGCGGCGTGAAAGGTGTGTGTGAGCATGGCAGCTGAGGGGAGCGTGCGTGCGTGCGGGCGTGCGTGGTGTCTCGCATCCATGGACAGAGAGCGTGCGTGCGTGGCATCCCGCACCCATGGCTCTGCCTGGGAGCGGCGGGCTCATGGCGCATGAGCTGGGAAGAGCATGCAGGCGAGGGCCACGATGAGGAAACCCAAACCACCAGCAGCAGTACGCACACAAACACACAAACACACATGTATGCATGCATGTGCTCTCTCACCCGGCATGCTCTCTCTCATCCGTCGGTCTTTCTAGAAGCGTGCCAACCGCGCATGAGGCATGCGGCACGGAAGGCGTAGGTGGGCATGGCATGGTGCCAGAGAAGAGCGTTCCTGGTCTCTCACCCATCGGCTTTCCCATCGGGCATGAGGCGCGAGGCACGGAAGGCGTAGGTGGGCATGGCGCCGGAGAAGAGCATGCAGGCGACGGCCAGCACGAGGAAGCCCACCCACACCAGGCGCAGGTTGCTCTCCAGCTTGAACGCCTGATCTATGATGAACTGCGGACGAAAGGAAAGAGAGAGAGAGAGAGAGAGAGAGAGAGAGAGAGAGAGAGAGAGAGAGAGAGAGAGAGAGAGAGAGAGAGAGAGGGAGAGAGAGAGAGGGAGAGAGAGAGAGGGAGAGAAAGAGGGAGAGAGAGGGAGAGAGGGAGAGAGAGACACAGAAAGGAAAGCGGCAACAAGAACGATAAGGCTCTTGTAAAATCTGGGTACGTTGTTCGTGCTTTAAAACAGCTGATGACTTGGCGACGTTCCAACACCACCTGTGCGACGTTCCAACCCCACCTGTGCGACATTCCAACCCCACCTGTGCGACGTTCTTGATATATGCGCAGTCGAGGATGGTCTGCACGCTGTCCAGGGTGCCCTCCAGGCGCTCCGTATTCGCCAGCACTGCTGTCAGGTCCGACACCACCTCCGGGGGCAAACCCGAGCCCCCGGACTGATTCAGCTTCTGCAGTGGGCGAGGGGGGGAGGAGGAGAGGTGAGGAGGGAGGAGAGGCGGAGGAGGGGAGATGAGGAGGATGGTTTGGATGCTGTTTCCGGGGGGGTTAGGAGGTGAGAAGGGGAAGAGGTGAGAATGAGATGTGGTGAGAAAATGGTGCGAATCTGGAGCTAGTTTGGCAGGCACCGGTGCATGCGGGAAGAAACATGGTACTGCTCAAGAACGAGCGACTGAGTCAAAGCAAAGCACAAGATTCAGTGCACCAGGCTGACCCAGCAGCAGAATGGCAGAGAGCAGAGACGCACAGGCAAAACAGGAGAGGGGCACAGCTGCAGGGCGGGCAGAGCGAGGAGGGCGAGGAGGGCAGGGAGGGCAGGCAGGGCACCTTAGAGAGCTGAGTGAGGGTGAGCGAGCCAGGTTCGCAGATGGAGGGGTTCGGGGTGTACTGGGGCGGGGCGTACGGCACACACACCGACGACGCTCCTGCTGCTTGCAGCACCTGGGAGAGAAGGGGAGGGGGGAGAATGGGAGGGGGGAGGGGGGGAGGAGGGAGGAGGGGAGGAGGGGAGGGGGGAGAAGGGAAGGGTGGAGAAGGGGAGGGGAGAGAAGGGAAGGGGGGAGAAGGGAAGGGGGGAGAAGGGAAGGGGGAGAAGGGAAGGGGGGAGAAGGGACGGGGGGAGAAGGGAAGGGGGGAGAAGGGGGTGAGAGAAGGGGAGGGGTGAAAAAGGGGGGAAGGAGAGAGTGCTTGGTGGGGCAGGCGTGAGAGAGTGTAACGGGCTGGAACAACAAGAAAAACAGAAACAGCAGACGCAGCAGTAGGCATGGCAGCAGGGCAATACCACGTAGCTATGGGCATGGCAGCAGCACGCACCTGAGGGTATCCGTCCTCGAGCGCGGATTTGATGAAGGTCTGCGAGGTGAAGAGGGCGGAGCGCGCGGTGGTGAGCACGCTCTGCATGTCGCTGTGGTTGGCGCACGGCAGGTAGCGGCTCATGGCGCTGTTGACCGATGGGTTGAGCATCACCTGCTGCAGCGCCGCCACTGAATCGCCCTCCACGCTGCATGGTAGGGGCGGGAGAGAGGGGCAGCGGAGAGAGGGGCGGGAGAGAGGGGCAGCGGAGAGAGGGGCATAAGAGTGGGGTTGGAGAGAGTTGGATGGGCTGTCATGCGCCATGCTGACGCATTGCATGGCGTGGGCCGAAATAGGCAGATAGATGCGATGCGAAGGCTTATAGACACACATGCGAAAGGGAAGCATGGGGGGACTGATGGCATGATGGTGGCAGGAAGGGGTGGAAGGACTGGGGGGGAAGAGCATGGGCTCACATGTATGTGGTGAAGAATATGCCGGTGGCAATCCATGCCCAGAAGACCGAGAACCACAGGAAGAAGAGGATGCTGTGGGGGAGAAGTGGGGGAGGACGGAAAGGGGAGGTTAGGGTTAGGGGAGAATGTGGAGGGAATGGTCAAAAGAAAGACGTTGATGCATGGGTGCATGGGGTAATCTGTGGGTGCATGGGGTAATCTGTGGGTGCATGGGGTAATATCTGGGTGGATGTGACAATGCATGGGTGCATGGGCGGGCTTACATATTCGTTACCACCACGATGCGAAGGAGGGCAAAGACTGCAGGCAGCACAGGTCGCACGCAGTGGAGCACAGGGTGGGGGGGGGGCGAGAGGAGAGGGGGAGAGATGGGTGGATGGGGATGGGATGAGGGGAGGGTGCAGAGGAAGGAGGAGGAAAAGAACAGGGATAAGCGCAGCGCAGGCATGGATGAAACCAGGACGCGCGTGTGTGTGTGTGTGGCATGTGGTGCCCATGTTGCAGGGATGCGAGCGGCACAGCGGGCAGGGCAGCACTGACCGAATCCCAGGGCGCACAGGAGGGCGATGGTCATGCCCACTCCGAACATGAAGCGGTAGCTGCCAGCCCGGGACGAGACACCACGTGCATGGGGTGCATGGGAGGGGCGTAGGCAGGGAGGAGGGAAGGGAGGGAAAGGGAGTGGCAGGGAGAGAGGAAGGGGGGTTGAGAGGAATGAGGAGCGAAGGAAGAAGAGCAGGTGAGGGCAGGAGAGACGTATTAGAGAAGGACGGGGTGAGTGGAGCTCTCCTGGTACCCGGATCCCCGCGCACCCCTCCCCGCCTTGCCCTCACGCACCCCACGCCTCCTTGCCCCTTTGGCCGCCTACCCCGCGGCTTACATGAGCAGCACGGAGGTGTTCACGAAAAAGGAGCCCTGGTCCAGCAGGCCCTGCATCTCCACCGCCGTCTGGTTCACCTGGTTCGCCATGGCCGTCACGTTCGATGTGATGTTTGCTGCAAATGCAGGGGGGGTGGGGAGAGGAGGTGGGGAAGGGGGTGGTGCGTGAGGGGGGTGAAGGAGCGAGCGGTGGTCCAGCAGGCCCTGCGTCTCCACTGCTGTGTGGTTCACGTGCGTCGCCATGGCCGTCACACTTGCTGTGATGTCCGCTGGAGGAGATCAGGGTGAAGGAAGAGAGGACCAGTTGAAGGGTGACGGTAACGGCACAAGGCTCGAGGAGCGGGGAGGAGAGAGAGTATGTGTGTGTGAGAGAGCGAGGGGGAGAGAGGGAGTATGCGTGCGTGTGTGTGTGAGAGAGAGAGGGAGTATGCGTGTGTGTGTGTGAGAGAGAGAGGAGTATGCGTGTGTGTGTGAGAGAGAGCGAGGAGTATGCGTGTTTGTGCGAGAGAGAGCGAGGAGTATGTGTGTGTGTGAGAGAGAGAGAGAGAGGGGGAGTATGCGTGTGTGTGAGAGAGAGAGGGAGGGAGGAGCACAGAACGAAGCAGAGCTGAGTACGACGCGCGGACCGGAGGAAAGAGCTTGCCGGGGAGCGCAGCGCGGGGGATGTGGGTCGGCGAGAGTCCAGCGACGGCCGTGGAGACGGTGGGTATGATGCATGGTGTGGGTGCAAAGAGCAGAGCATAGCAGAGCAAAGAGCATACTGGGGAGTGCGGCGTTGGCGACGTGCGTGCTGGAGAGGGCAGCGACGGCGGTGGAGACGTTTGAGACGATGCCGGCGACGCGGTCGACCTGCTCCATGGCGTGGTCCGTGATGGCCAGCATGGTGCTGCGGAACATGATGCCGCCCGCCAGCATCAACGCGATGCCCACGCTGCGAGCGGGCAGGGAGGGAGGGCGGGAGGGGTGACTTCTGAGTCGACTCAACAATGATGGTCCAGCGGAACATGTCGCCGGGAGGATAGAGAGGGGGAGATGAGGGAGTGGGGAGAGTAGACCAGGAAGAGCAGGGCCGGAAAGAGGGGGAGGCGGAAGGGACTTGAGGCGTGCTAGTAGCAAGCAACATGGTGTGCTTGCCAGTATGCTCACACGAGGCCCACAAGGCTTACACGAGGCCCACGAGGCCGACGATCATTAGCACCAGGGGCAGCGTGAGGTCCTTCTTGGTATAGGGGCGGTAGTCATGGCTGCGCATGCGGCTCCAGCGCTCGTGGCAGCAGCAGCACGTGCAGCACACGCCGAAGACAATGCCCAGCCCCAGCAGCAGCCACGCCACGCCGATCAACGGGCCGAACGATACCGTGAATCCCACGGACTGCAGGGGGGGGGAGAAGAAGAGGTGCGGCGGAGGGGGGGGGAGGGGGGAGGACACGGGGAGGAATGGGGGGACCAGGGGGGGGAAGAGAGAAGCAGGGGGATGGAGGGCAAGGGGAGGAGAGGGAGAGGAGATGAGCATGGCAACGGGACAACGGAGCAACGGAGCAACGCAGCAACGGAGCAACGGAGCAACGGAGCAACGGGACAACGGGGCATGGCAAGAGAGAGCTTCTCACTACTAGTAGTAGTCTCAGTACCCCATCCCCGCACATACCGCCCAGTAGTGGCTGTCGGTGGGGTTCCACCCTCCGCTGTACGTGCGCAGCCCGTTCAGCGGGTCCCTCCTGGCCGTCCGATCCGGCACCAGGAGGATCGTCTCGTTGCCCACCACAAGCGTCCCGGCCATCATCCTGCGACGCGTGGCGGCTCCGGATTGGCCAGCGGCGGGACTGTCGTCGAGAAGGGAGTAAGTCAGAGCAGCGGCGACTCGAGACTCCAAGTTGGCGCGATATGCGACGTCTCGACTGGCACTAGTAGTCGCACTCGTGGACTGAAGGCGACGGGAGTGCACGCGGCGATGCAGCGGAACAGCAGCAGCAGCGGCGGCGGCCGCGGCGGGGATGGCGGCGTGGGAGGGGAGAGGTACGAGAGCAATCGCTGCGACGACGAAGGCGACGAAGGCGACGAGGGAGACGGCGCCGAGGCCGGTCATGGCGGCGGTGCGGAGCGGAGCCGGGAAGCGCCGGCCGAGAGGCTTCCGAGGGGCGTGGGAGGCGGAGAGGCGGCGGAAGCGCGTGAAGGAGAAGGAGGAGGAGGAGGAGGAGGACGAGGGGAACTTTCCCTCGTCGAAGCACTTGCTAGAGGGTGCTGTCATCGTGGAGGGTGGGCTCCCTGGTGTCTACTATTACTAGTAGTGAGGGTATTACGTCTCTGGTGGTCGATGCACGAGATGCTCCAAGGCTGCGAAGTGTTTCCGCAGCGGCTGCCTTAGGGATGCCTTGTCAGGCAGGGAAGGCGACGGCTGCCTATAGTGTGTTTGTTTGAAGTCACGGGTACGACGGTTGTAGGGAGAAGTGTGCCTGGCTATGGCGAGAAACAAGCAATGGGGCAGAATGAGAATGGCTTGTGTTGAGATTTGACGTGATATACGCGAGAGGGCACCGCAGATTCCTGTCATCGATGACTCGAGACCAACCTCTCTCGCAGTCCGTTCGGACGTAGCAGCTGGGGATGAAGGTTCGGCAGTACCTGGAGTGTTTGAGTTGCTCTGAAGCAGTGCGGTAGGGTGGGGGCAGCCACGCGACGCCGTTCACGCCGCGGAGAAGGGCACACAATTATGTGAGTGCAGCCCAGGGCTTGTCTCGTCCAATTCGCCTGGCGCTGCTGGGAGTTTGGGATTCTGATAGGGTATTTAGGGAACATTTCGCGCTCGTGTCAAGTACACCGACGGCGTTCAGATCTTGACACGTAGGAAGAAGTGTTGACGTGCCGATTTTGAGACCCAGCGTGCTTCGTGCCATTTATATTGACACGAGCGCGGAATTTCTCCGTGCCCGATCCATCCTGCCATCATCAGGGCTCATTCCGCAGAGAGTGTTTCCCCGAGGGTTTAGCGGGAAGATCCGAGGCTGGAAACAAACTGCCTGGGGTCTTGCGAAAAACTGACGGCTCCAGCCAGTCAGCTGTCAAACCGAACAACTAACAAAGTCGTGCAAATGAACTTCCACCAATCATAACTTCGAAATTTTCTGGTGGACTCGAAAAGTTCGGCCGGTTTAGTCGCAGCCCTCCCCTTGGACGGCTCGCGACTATGCAGCCGCTGCACCCGCAGTTAGGTTGTGACAACCCGCGGCTCCTTCGGCCGCGGGTCGACCTCGGGTCTGATACTCTCCGCGGAATGGTCCCTTCTGCATGACCGGAATCGACACGATTATCAGAGCGCGCATCAGTGTGAGACGTTTGTCAGGGATGCGAAAGTTTCTCAGTCACGAGGTGTTTGACCCGCGACGACTGCCCGAAGTGTGAGCCAACCAATCAAGTCACCCTGGACCACAGTTCCTTGTGGGTCTGGCCGACTGCTGTGGCTGAGACGCGTCGCGGGCAGGAGAAGGATCACTGTGAGGGCCTTGGGGTGAGCTCCTAGCTGTCGTAACTCAGATAGACATTACTGTACAGTTTTCGCCTGTGATTTCGCCTGTGGTGGTGAGCAGCACTGCAGCACGAGCAACAGAGTCGAAAGCAAAACAACCTACCCAGGGAACCGTTACCACATGCATTCACTGTACTTCAGCATGCAGCTTAAGGATCGAGGGCGCATTTCTTACTTTTGGCAGGAAACTTGCACAGAAGTCACAGACTCTTACGATCATCTCCCATATCTCAGTTTGAAATCTCGACCGTCTACAAATTGCCACAAAGTGGTCTGCCACAGGCAAGGAATGCGCTAAACCGATAGAGCGTTCACTGGAAACGCATTCATTTTATTTTATGCTTCATTGCTTCGTTATGACCACGAAAACTCCGTCTCACCAAGAGACCTCCCTCTGTTAGGGCGCGGAACCTCCAATTCGTGATCCCAAATATAGTCCGGACTTTAATGTGGTTACTCTTTTGTGTTTGTCGCCAGATGTTTTCGCACATCGTCAAAAAGTTTCGTCACAGTTCATACTACGATGGAACATGGGTCGCGAATATCGTTGTCCGGACGGGGACAGTGCCACTTTCGAGCCACCACCCTGGTCACGTAACAGGCAACGAACGAAAAGCTAAAGCGAAACGCAGTTACCAAAAATCTGGCGGGGAGTTTCGTACCAGCTGTTGGTTGTGCGATGAGTATGTGTTGTGAGCTGTCGCAACACATGACGAATCTCGACGACGCATGCAACATTTTGTCATTTCGCGAAAGGGTGTTCAAATATCGAATGATGGGATATCGGGTGGTTGGGCCTGTTCAGCTAGGTGGTCCGGTGGATGGTCCGGACTATTGGGGAAGTGGTTCGGACTGCCAAAAATCGTGACGTCGTCCGGATTTTGGCATTACGTTTCCGATGCCCCGCGCCCTTATGTCCTGAATCCCGCGAACACTGTTTGTCGCAGGCTGTCGGGAAATACAGTAACCAGATGGTGCGAAGATCGCAGATGGGCATGCGTTTTCGCTCAATACAAAACCACCATTCAACCCAATCAAACGTACGCTAGGGGTACAGAAAGGCGCAGAACTGGGATTTTTTGTAACGCATGACAGTGTAGCGGATACACCAGTCCCAGCACGCTGCCCAACACCTGCAGCGCAACAGCATGAAGCGAGCCAAGCTCGAGGACGGAGGCAGGCGCATGCGAGCAGAAAAGTGAAAAAGGCAGAGGCGAGGCGAGGCGAGAGAAGCAGAGGGGCACATCGCCAGACAGGCCAGCAGCACAGCAGCACAGCAGGCGTAGACAGAGTGAGCTGGGATTCTTAGTCACCGGGAGTGTGCGAACAGGAGCGATTATAACAAGCAGAGCCTTTACCTCAGGGATCGTCGCACTGTGCGCTCATCCTGAGCAGCGTTTGCGCTTGAGCGAGCTGCATCTCTCCGGTGTGCACATACTCGGGTGGTGTCAGTCAGACCGTCGATCTGTGACCAGCGTTTGAATCTCCGCCGTCACTCCGCGCATCTCCTGGCCGACACCAATTTCCTGAAGTCCTGGTCAATCAGTGTAGCCTTTCTCTGCGTGTAGCCTTGGATCTTCTCTCGATCTTGCCGTAGAGTCGACGCGGGCGGTATGGCGGATCAAGAGAAGAAGGGAGACACGTTGGTGCAGCAAGCAGACAAGAAGCTCAAGGGGTGGGCCTTTTTTGGCGGGAAATACGACGAGGCGGCAGAGCTGCTGGAGAAAGCGGCGACGTCATACAAGGTCGCTAAAGCGTGTAAGTCCCGTTATCCGAAGCAGGCGAAGTCACGTGCGACAGTACCAGCGTAGTAACATCCATTCGCAGGAATTGGCGAACGTGGCAGCGAATCACGCCGTCGTCGCGATCGCGAGCGATCGCTCGTTTTCCGCTTTCGTCGCATGATGTCGCACACTAGGCGCGTCGTGTCGTACGAGACGTGTCCGGTGACTATGAGCTCTCCTCAGCCGCCTGTTCCGCCGACAGAATCTAATTGCCGTGGCGTGAATCGCAATATCAGGAACCGTCTTACACGTGTCTTGCGTTTTCGCTTGGTTTCCTTTGCGTGCTTGCATAATTCCGAGGCCCCTCAGAATCGTTCCAAACAGATTTCACTCATCCCCCCCTGAAATGTGTGCATGTGTGCATGCCTGCATATGTGCTTGTTGGCATAACATATTGGCATATTGGCAGGGGACAAAGCGGCGGACACTTACTGTCGGCTGTCGGAGATTCAGCTCAAGGTGAGCTAACTCCCGCAACAACAGCCTCGGACACCTTCACCGCGTCTTGCCCCTCCTCCGATCGTCTTGCCCCTTGCCCCTCTGCATCGGTTTCCGCCACTCCAACGCTCTTTCAGCGTCCTTGCCCTCCGTCCGTCCGTCCCTTCCGCTCTGGCTCTTCGCCACGTCTCCTTGTCGTGTGCTTCCTCATCCATCGCCTCCATCGCCTCCATCGCCTCCATCGCCTCCATCGCCTCCATCGCCTCCATCGCCTCCATCGCCTCCATCGCATCCATCGCCTCCATCGCCTCCATCGCATCCATCGCCTCCATCGCATCCATCGCATCCATCGCCTCCATCGCATCCATCGCATCCATCGCCTCCATCGCATCCATCGCATCCATCGCCTCCATCGCATCCATCGCATCCATCGCATCCATCGCATCCATCGCCTCCATCGCATCCATCGCCTCCATCGCATCCATCGCATCCATCGCATCCATCGCCTCCATCGCATCCATCGCATCCATCGCATCCATCGCCTCCGTCGCATCCATCGCCTCCATCGCCTCCATCGCATCCATCGCATCCATCGCCTCCATCCTGCCCCCTGCGTCACCCGCCTGCCACGCATCCTGCGTCCCCCCCTGCGTCCCCCCCTGCGTCCCCCCCTGCGTCACCTACCTGCCACACCCCCTGCGTCACTCCCCCCCCCTGCCCCCACCACTCCCCCCCTCCTCCCGCCCCCGGCAGCATCTGGACAGCTCGCACGAGGCGGCGTCCGCTCTCATCGAGGCCAGCAACGCGCTCAAGAAGACAAAACCCGCCTGTGAGCAGCGCACGGGGGGGAGAGGGGGAGCGGGGGGGGGGGGGGGGGGGGGGGGACTGTGAGGGGTGGGCTATGGGGGATTTGAGGCAGGAATTCGGCAGCAGCATGAGGGGTGGAGAAGGGCCGTGTGGGGGGTGAGGTAGGCAGCGTGAGCGGAGCGTGGCATGTGCATGGGTACAGCAAGCATCGGGGCATGCTTGATGTCTGGGTTAGCCATGTCTGCGAAATTCTTTGATGTGGGGGGCTTCTCCTTGAGACCCGGCTGGTCCCAAGAATGAACGTACCTAGTAGAATCTCCTGTATCTCCGTGTTGCATGTGCGCATGAACGTACCGCAGTGGCCAAGGAGCGGCTCAAGGAGGCCATCGACCTCTTCATCGACAATGGCCGCCTCAGCATGGCCGCTCGCCACTGCAAGGTGCGCCTCCCCTCCCTTCCTGTGTCCTTTTCCCCCTGTCCCTACCCCTTCCCCCCCCCCCCCCCCCCCCTCCTCCCACCATCACCTTTCGTTTTCAGCACTGGTTGGTTGTTACTTTTTGCAGTACCGTTGTTGCGGTGCATGTCCCCGGCACTGTGTTCCCTGCCTGTCTGCTGCCTTCGTTATCCTGGCCTGTGTGATCAGTGATCACCGTGGTTACCGCCTCACTTTTCTGCCACCTGACTGCTGCGCCACACTCCCTCTTTCCCATGCCCTGAATGCTGGCTGTCCTCTTTCCCCTCGCTATCCCCCCCCCCACCCTCCCCCAGATGTACGAGAAGGAGGAGGACGCGGGCAACGCAGTGGTGTGGCTCCTTCTGAGGCGACTCAAATCTAATCCCCCCACACGCCTTCCTGCCCCCAACCTCCCCTCCCCTCCACCCCACCCCCCCACCCCTCCTTCCCACCCCTCCCTCTCCCCCCTCCCCCCCCAGGACCTGGCGGAGATGTACGAGAAGGAGGAGGACGCGGCGAACGCGGTGGTGTGGTTCAACCGCGCGGCGGACTTCTATCAGACGGAGAACGCCAACACGAGCGTCAACCAGATGAAGCTCAAGGTCGCCGAGTACTCCGCGCTCAACGCCGAGTACGTGCAGGGGGGGGGAGGGGGAGGGGGAGGGGGAGGGGGAGGGGAACGGGGGGGGAGTGAGGGGGAGTGATGCAGGCGTGGGAGATGGGCGGGTGCGGAGTGGGGGGTAGGCATGGTAGGGAGGTTTAAGGTCGCTGAGTGCTCCGCACTCAATGCCGAGTACGTGCAGTGGAGGGTGAGAGGGGGAGGGGGGGGCGTTGGAGGTGGGAGGGGGGCATGAGATGTGGGAGAGAGGGAAGCAACGGAGCATGGGAGCACTGGAGGGGTAGAGAATGTGAAGGGAGGTGTGGGAGGGAGGGTGGAGTGGGAAAGGGCATGGGGGGATTGTGATGAGGGTTGTTGGCTGCTGGCTTTTTATGCAGGATAGGAGAGGTGCTTTGTGGAGGGGGGAATGCAATGTGGGAGGCGCCTGGTTGCATCAACGTGCGTATTTTTCCCTACCTTCTCCCTTTCTGCTGCCTCACTCTGTGCCATCTCCTCCTTCCCTCCATCCACAAACACCCCCCCCCCTCCCCCCCTTCCTCCCCTTTTTTCATCCGCCCGTGCCTCCCCGATCCCCACCCTCTTTTGATGCATGTGTCCACGCAGCACGCACATGCTGCATCTCATATCTCATCCCACTCCCCCCACCCCAACTCCCCCAACTCCACTCCTCACCCACCGCCCTCAGCTACGCGGCGGCCATAGAGATCTACGAGCAGGTGGCGCGGGACTCGCTGAACAGCAACCTGCTCAAGTACAGCGTGAAGAACTACCTGCTCAACGCCGGCATCTGCCAGCTCTGCCGCAACGACACCGTCGCTGTCAACAACGCCCTTGACAAGTACCAGGTGGGTGCCGCCCCTGCTGCTGCTGCCGCCACTGCTGCTGCTGCTGCTGCTGCCCATGCGCTCTTCCGCACGCGCTGCTTCCAATCTTCCCCCCATCTCTTCCCCCGCTCTTCCATTCCTCCATCCCCCCCCCTCCTCCATCCCCTCGTGCTCTCGGCTCGCTTTCTACCTGCTTGTTCTCTCTCCCTCTATCTACCTGGTGTCTACCCACCTTTTCAGCAGTGTACTTAGCATGGCACGTCACATGCCCCAAGCTTTTCGGAACTTGTGATTGCGTACTTGCTGCGATGTTTCTCGCAGGACATGGACCCAACGTTCCCAGACACAAGGGAGTTCAAGCTGCTCTCTGTAAGCCGCCAATGCTCTTCCCGCCTCTCTCCCTCCTCCGTCCATCCTGATGGCATTAGGCCCCTTGCATGCTCCAGCCGTTTTGCGCTGGGCACACCAGATTTCAGTGGCTATCCATGCGTTGCTGCTCTCACCATGCTGCTCTCACCATGCTAGTCTCACCATGCTGTTCTCACCATGGTGCCCACACACCAGAACGCTGTCTTCCATGTTCTCTTCCTGCTGCTATTCCGAGTGCCGCCAGTCAGTATCTATATCCTCCCCTGTCTGTTCCCTCTCCCTCCCTCGCTCCCCCATGCCTTGCTGGTATAATCTGCTCTCCCCTCTCTCCCTCCTGCACACCCTCCCCCGTCCCTTCTCTATGCCTCCCCCTCTGCCTCCCATTCTCTCCCCCCCCCCCCTCTCCTCGTCTGTGCTGTCCTTACCGTGCATCAGAGCCTCGCGCAGGCAGCAGAGGAGGGCGATGCTGAAGCATTCACAGATGCAATTAAGGAGTTTGACACCATCACCCGCTTGGTATGCCCTCATGACGTTCATATGTCAATTGCCTGGCGTATTCTGCCCTTGTGCCCTCTTCACCAATCCTTTCTTTCCGTCCTGTGTATTTTGGGTGACTTTTTCCTCATTCCCATGGATTCTGGAACTGCTGAATTTGCGCATTAGGGATTATTCTGTTTTCGTTTGCTGCCCGGGGTTTGTCCGGTTACCCTCGTTATGTCTCTAGTACATTTGATGTTGCCATTCTCAATCCTGCACATTCTGTCATCCCCTGGTGTTTTCATGGTTGGGCATCTGTTGCTGTTTTGCCACCAGGATTCCTGGAAGACAACACTGCTACTGCGAGCAAAGAATTCCGTGAAGGATGAAGAACCACTTACATAAGCTGTTGCATTCAACCTTGTTGAGTTCTTGCTGCTGTGGTGTTGGGAAAGCTGTTTCACAGTCAGTATGGGCGACTGTCAGCCCCCTTCCTAGTTAGATTTCGCTAGTGTTTTGTGTTGTTCGTGGCCTGCCAGCCCATTCGCGTTAGATTTGCATTGTGTCATCCGAAACCCACTGTTGGGGTGAGGTTGGACGCAATAATTGGGTGCACTTTGTTAATTGGGTGCCTTGAATAATAATGTCAATCATCATATTAGTGATATCAACACTAGAAATTGGGTGAAAATTGCGTTGGGGGAGTCCCATTCGGTTCCGCCATGTGGTGTCTGCATTCCATTGCATCCTGACGTGTCGGGTGAAAGTTCATTCAGGCTCGGCTCGGCACGGCACCGAACCGAAGCAGGCCGAAAAGTGCCCCACTCCGCAGCAGTACAGCGCACCAACGCGTCAGACAACCTGGTTGACTGACCGACCGACCGGGGGGAGATATGTGGCACTCTGCGCAAGGAAGGATACTTCCCCGCAGCACTCACCACAGCGAGCGCACCGCGCGTTTCCCTTCTCCCCCCGCCCCTCCATCACACGCTTCCCCTCCGCGCCCCGCTTCCTCGTCCGCGCTCCGCGTTCTCGCGCTCATCCCATCCCATTTCACACTGCGCCCGCACCCAACCTCCTCCGCCCATCCCTCACAGCACGCATAAAAGCCGCATCCGGAATCCACAACATTTACTGCCACTGCATCCTGCGTCTTGCATTAGCCCCGCATTAGCCCTGCTCCCTCTTGCCAAGAGCCTCTTTTTTCTCCACCCGAATCGCTCTTGGCTCTTCGCATGCAACCACCCCCGAGTGCCTGACACGTGTCTCGCATACCGTCTCAACCAGCGCCACGAATCTCTCTCTCCCCGCCTGACGAGAGGCGTCGCGTTCGATTTCGGGTTCCAGACCAACAGGCGGAGCCTTCTCTCTTCACCGCCAGCCATCACGGCGTCTTCCGCGCTCTCCGCGGCAGCAGCAGCAGGGGCCCGCCTGGCCTCTGCTGCCCCTGCTGCCTCTGCTGCGTGTTTTAGGCCTTCTTTGGGCGATGGCGCTACCACTGGCAGTAGTGCGAGTGCGAGTGCTAGTGCGAGTTCGAGTTTGAGGTTGTTGCACCGAGGAGAGTTCTTGACGGGGCGACGAGTGACCATGGCGAGTGCAGCTGTCGCGGCGCCGGCGAAGGAGGAGGCAAGCGGGGGGAAAGCAGCAGAGGCGGCACGCGTTGCTCCAGGTGAGAGGTGGATCTTTTTTTTTTTTTTTTTTTTTTTTGACGCGCCTCGAGACAGGTGAGAGGTGGAACCTCGAAGTACCGGGCACCACTCATTTCGGCCACTGAATGAAAGGGAGAACGAGTCCGAAGATGATAACGCGAGACTGTAACAGCATGGCGGTTGAGCATGCGCAGCGTAATAGTCCGAAGGAGGTCGGATTCTTAGGCGAGTCAAGGATGGCACCGGCCGTGTGGCTGCCGCCTCTCTCGTTCCCGGAGCCATGCGAAGCAACAAGACTCAAGCTTTCCCTAAACCCAGTATTTTTCACGGCGAGCGCCTTCGCCGTTGCCGTCTCCCCGTGCATCGCCCGACCATTCGCGAGTCTTCGCTCGTCGACACCCTTGCCTGCCCGAAGCACAGCACATCATGGTTGCTTCTGTTTCTCTTTACGATTGTGGACGCGTTTTTCCCCCTTTTTTTCTTTTTCTTTTTAACCAAGTGGCCCTTCTCCCCGCTTCTCCACCCGCCTCTCTCCGCCGTCCCTGTCTCTCAGTGCAACCCACAGCCGTCTATGAAACGCACAAGCTCCACGTGGCACCACCGGACGATGCGGCGCTGCGCGCGGCGCCGTCCGTGCGGTCGCACGACATGCTCGCGCCGTTCACGGCGGCGCACCAGTTCACGGACGCGCACCCGCTCGTTATAGTCAAGTCGGAGGGCGTGTACATCTGGGACAGCGACGGCCGGCGGTATTTGGACGGGCTCGCGGGGCTGTGGAGCACGGCGCTGGGCGGCAACGAGCCGCGGCTGATCGAGGCGGCGGACGCGCAGATGAAGAAGCTTCCTTTCTACCACTCGTTCTGGAATCGCGCCACGGAGCCCGCCATGGAGCTCGCTAAGGTAAGCGATATGTAGGTGGAAGTTTAAGTGGGGGGGGGATGTGACGCGTACTTTTAGGTTTTGACAGGTGGATATCAGCGTTGGACCTCTTTAGCCCGAGTGCAACAGTGGCAGGCGGACTGAAACTTGGGTCCCTCTACCGCCCATCCACTTGACTGCGCCTTCCCAACTGCCCGTCATTCCTCGAACCTACCCTCTCCTCCTTGCTTCCTGTCTCCCCCATTTCCATCCTTCCCCTCCCCCCCCTCCCCCCCCCCCCCCACCCCCCCCCCCGCCCCCCCTTTCCTCCTTCCCTCTTTCCTTCCAACCCCCTCCTCAACCTCACTCCTCTGCTTCTCTCCGCCTCTCCCCCCCCCCGCCTTCCCGCCCCCTCATCCCCGCGCGTGTACCCATGCTCCCGCGTGTGGCAGGAGCTGACGGGCATGTTCACAGCGGAGCGCATGGGGCAGGTGTTCTTCACCAACAGCGGCTCCGACGCCAACGACACGCAGGTGGGCAGCGCGGGCCAGGTCAGGTGGGCCCAGGTGGGCCCAGGTGGGCTCAGGTGGGCTCACGTGGGCTCACGTGGCTCAGGTGGGCTCAGGTGGGCTCATGTTGCTCAGGTGGACTCATGTTGCTCAGGTGGGCTCAGATGGGCTCAGGTGGGCTCAGATGAGCTCAGGTGGGCTCCGATGGGCTCAGGTGGGCTCAGATGGGCTCAGATGGGCTCGGGTGGGCTCAAATGAGGGACACAATGAGGAAACCCTCCAACGTCCTTGCCCTTTCTTGTTTCCTCAGAAAGAGAGAAATTTCATGGTGCCATTGGATAGAAGAAGGTATGTGTCTTCCAGATGCAGAAAAGGTGCACACGGCACACATCCCCACACGCCAACAAGCCCGCATACCCCCGCCACCACACGCCCTCGCACCCCTCACACCCCTCACATGCCTCCCCCCCTCCCCCTAGGTGAAGCTGGTGTGGCTCTACAACAACTCGCTGGGGTGCGCGCAGAAGGAGAGGAGAGGTGCGCAGGGCACACAGCCCACACCCTGCATCTCCCACAGCCGCTCACACATACCCCTCACACGTCTCCCCCCAACCCCCCACCCCCCCCCTTTACCGCTCACCCTCCACTCCCACCACTACCAGGTGAAGCTGGTGTGGCATTACAACAATGCGCTGGGGCGGACGGAGAATGGAAGAGGTGCGCATGCCACACATCCCCCACGCCAACCAACACACCAACATGCGCACATCCCCCTCCCTCCCCCCCACCTGCCCCCCCCTCCCCTTTAATCCAAACCTCCCAGGTGAAGCTGGTGTGGGCGGAGAAGAAGAGGAGGAGAGGCGCACTAGGGCAAACATCCCTTACGCCAACACACCAACATGCGCACATCCCCCTCTCTCCTCTCCCCTCCCCCGTCCCCCCTCATCCGAACCTCCCAGGTGAAGCTGGTATGGTACTACAACAACGCGCTGGGGCGGCCGGAGAAGAAGAAGTTCATTGCGCGCGACAAGGCGTACCACGGCTCCACGCTCGTGTCCGCCAGCCTCACCGGCCTCTCCCCGCTGCACAAGAGGTGAGAGGGGGGAGACAGAGGGCCAGGGGGGACGGAGAGGGGGGGGAGGAGGGGAGGGGGAGGGCTTTAGAGTGAACCAAAGGGGTTAGGAGAGAGTGTTTATGGGGTACTGCGGCTCCACGCTCGTGTGCCTGCCATTCTGGGCTCTCCCCTGCTGACAATTCCGTTTCAACTCACCTGACACCGCTACTCACATGCGTGCCCACCTTCACCCTCACATCCTCGCCCCCTTCCCTTTCTCCTCTGCTGCCCCCTTCCCCAGTTTACTCTGTACTCTACACACACTGGCCTTTTTCAACCATCCCTTCCTCCACTCCCTCCCCCCACTACCCCACCCCCCCCCCCCCCCCCCCCCGTGCCCCCGGTTCCCACCCCTCCCCCCTCTTCCCAGCTTCGACCTGCCAGTGGACTTCGTGCTCCACACGGACTGCCCGCACTACTGGCGGTACGGGCGGCCGGGCGAGAGCGAGGAGGAGTACAGCACGCGCCTGGCGGAGAGCCTGGAGGCTCTCATCGAGAGGGAAGGCGCCGATACCATCGCGGCCTTCATCGCCGAGCCGCTTATGGGGGCTGGGGGAGTCATTCCCCCGCCTGCTGGGTATTTTGACAAAGTGCAGGTGAGGGAAGGTGGGGAGTTGAGAGAAGGAGAGGGGAGGAGAGGGGAGGGGAGGAGAGGGGAGGGGAGGAGAGGGGGGGGGGAGGGAGGGGAGGGGAGGGGAGGGGATGTCCTCTGTGAAGGTTCTGCTGAGTGGCGTCAATGCACCGAGTGCTTGCGGTAGAAGCAGTTTCCTGCATTTCTGAAGCTGAATTAGCGGCTCAGCGTTTCTCTCGCTTCTCAGCATTAGCCCTTGTCCTCATATGTGCCCTTCCAAGTTCCTGCCCCGTTTCTCTCGCTTCTCCAATTCTCGCACGGCATTCTCTTCAGGATTGTCTTAGTCGACCAGGTCGTGTGTGGTTCCAGCTGATAGTCTGTACTCCACTCCTGCCCCCCCCCCCCCCCCCCCCCCGCCGCCCCCCGCCCGTTCACTTTTTCCCCAGCCCATCCTACCTTTTAGTGAATGCCGCATGACATTCTCTTCATACTGGACGAGGACAATGCTTGCACCACTTTCCCCCATCTTGTGCCGCTCTTCTCCCCCCTCCCCCTGCCCCTCCCCCTCCCCACCCCCACCCCATCCCCCCTTCCCCCCCTCTTCCCCCCCCAGGCCATCCTGCGCAAGCACGACATTCTCTTCATAGTGGACGAGGTGGTGTGCGGCTTCGGCCGCCTGGGCGCCATGTTCGGGAGCGATCTCTACAACTTAAAGCCTGACCTGGTCACCCTCGCCAAGGCGCTCTCCTCAGCCTACATGCCGATCGGCGCAGTGATGATCAGCCAGAGGATCGCGCACGAGGTGGCGGCGCACAGCAACAAGATGGGGAGCTTCGCGCACGGGTTCACGTACTCGGGGCACCCCGTGGCGTGCGCGGTGGCGTTGGAGGCAGTGCGCATGTACAAGGAGATGGACGTGGCTGCCGTGGTTCAGGCTGCCGAGCCGTTGTTCCAGGTGAGAAGCAGTGGGGGGAGGTGGGGAGGGGTGGGGAGTGGAGGGTATTTTTGCATGTTGCAATGGGGGGTGTGGTGTGGTGCTGCGGTGTGCGACGATGCTGGAGGCGGTGTGGATGTATCTGGTGGATGTGTGCTGCGCTCTCGCTCTCCCCCTTTGTATTAACTTTTTTGTATCCTCGTCCCCTCTCCGCCCCCCTCTCCGCCCCCCTCTCCACACCCTCCCACCCTTCCACCTCCCTCCCTCCCTCCCTGCTCCCCCTTTCTCCCCCCCCCCCCTCCTTAACCCCCACACACCAGTACAGCCTGCAGCAACATCTGTCACGGCAGCCCCATAGTGGGCGAGGTGCGCATGCATGGCCTAAAACCATCCGTCCCTCCCTCCCCCCCCCCAACCCCCCCCCCCTTCCCCCTTATCTCCCCCCCCAACCCCCCCCCCCCCCTCTTCCCCCTTATCTCCCCCCCCAACCCCCCCCTTCCCCCTTATCTCCCCCCCCCCCCCCGCTACTCACAGGGCGGCCTGCGGCACATCTGCCAGGGCAGCCCCATAGTGGGCGAGGTGCGCGGGGAGGGGCTCATAGTGGGCATGGAGCTGGCGGACCCCGTCACTAAGGAGCCCTTCCCGCCCGCGTGGGCGGTGGGGCCGTTCTTCGGGCAGTGTGCGGCGGCGCACGGGCTCATCGTGCGCACCATCGGGGACACCATCGCCATGTCGCCCGCACTCGTCATCTCACCAGGGGAGATCCAGGTGCGCAGGGGGGGGGGGGAGGAGGGGGAGTCGAGAGGGGGGTTTCAGGGATGGAAAGGTGGGGGGTGGGGGGTGAGGGGTGGGGAGTGGGGAGAGGTGGTGTTGGGCTTTGAGAGCGTTCAGGAGGAAATGGATGTTTGGCGGTGAAGGCATTGATTTCGCGCAAGCAACTCCTAAAGGGGCTCTTTCATGGGCGGACATGGGTTTTGGAAAGCGGTCCTTCTTCGGGCAGTGTGCGGTGGGGTATGGGCTCATAGTGCGCGCCATTGGGGCAATGTCATTTTGAGGCACCTCAAAAACAATGTCTTTGGAGTCACCCTGTCTCGTGGTGGTTGTTGATCCGTCCATGTGTGCTGTGCGTGCGTTCGTTTGAGTGTGCTTGTGTTTGTGTGCCTGTTTGTTCACGTGTGCTTACGATATGTGTATTTGTGTTTGTGTGTGTGTGTGTGCTCTTGCAACGACCACAGGAGCTGCTCTCCATCATCCGCCTCTCGCTCAAGGAGACAGAGGCCTACGTGCGATCCAAGATGGACATGAGTGACATAGAGTGACATGGAGTGGCATGGAGTGGCATGGAGCTGCGTAGACTGGCATTGAGGGACGCAGAGGGGCGTGGAGTGAAAAGGGACGTTGAGTGACGGGGTGGGGCCTGCGCTTTCTCTCCTCGCTGCCACAGGGTGTTCAGGGCAGGGACGGTTCTGTCGTGCGGTTGGTATACATGTGGTCGGTGTTTTCTTTCTCGTTCGCAGATGCATAGTGTCATCATACGGTATCTTGGGTTGCTACCCTGTCTTGGTTTCTTCTTTGCCATAGCGATCTTTGCATTTCCCAAACGAACAAACTTGTGAAAAATTGCCTTGCATTGACTAGCACCTGCACTGCACTACAGCATGGTCTCACTGGCCCCTAGATTGCAGGAAAAATTTCCTGATTCAGGAAAAAAACAGAGTTGTTGCTGGTACCAGTGTTCAAATTATATAAGTTATAATTTAATATAGGCTTGGTAGGTTGTTACTGAACGTTTCTGTAGGGGGTACAAACCCCTCCTTGTACTCCCCTCTCTTCCTAATCCAAGCCTCTTCTCTCTCGACACTCTTGTCAACTTCCTAGCAAAACCCTTGGCCGCCATTTCATGGCGGCCTCCTCTGTTCTTCCTAGTTCAGACTTTAACATGGTAACAGAGCAGGCCGTTTCCGGTCCTGCCTTCCACGCTTCCGCCTCGTCCTTATCTTACGTTTCACTTCGTACCGTGCCGCTGATGGCGGCCTTTCGTTTTCCTGCCGCCGTGGCGGCCTTGCCTTTCCGTGCCGCCGTGGCGACTTCTCTGAGATGCCGCGGCGGCTTAGTCGAGCTACAGTCGCACCTCCGCCTCGCCGCCGCGGCATCGACGTCGCGCTGTGGCGGCGTCTGTTTGCTGCCGTGGCGGCGTCATCGGGCGACAGCCGGCCGCGCATCGTCAATGGTGCCGCCGGACCTGCCGCCCGCTCTGCAGCCGCCGGCGTGAGTCTGGACTACGCCCCGCGCCCCTCTCCCCCCCCCCCCCCTCTCCCCCCTCCCCCCTCCTTCCCCTGCTTCCCCCCCCTTCCTTGCTGCAGCCACCGACTGCCTCATGCGGGCCCTCCCCACCGCCAAGGTGACTGGACTGTTCAAATTATATAAGTTATAATTTAATATAGGCTTGGTAGGTTGTTACTGAACCTTTCTGTAGGGGGTACAAACCCCTCCTTGTACTCCCCTCTCTTCCTAATCCAATCCTCTCCTCTCTCGACACTCTCGTCCAGCTCCTACCTAAACCCCGCCGCCACATTCATGGCGGCCGTGTTCCTACCTAGTATCCTAGCCTAGAGCTACTTTAACATGGTATCGAGAGCAGGACGCCCTCCCTGGGCCTGCTCCCCTCCGTGCTTCCGCTGCGTACTCGATCACTGCCTTCCAACTTCCTGCCGCCGTGGCAGCTTCTCCGAGATGCCGCGACGGCTTCTTTTAAGTGCCGCCGTCTCAGTGTCGCCGAGCAGCCGCAGCGACGATGCGGCGCCGTGGTGGCGCCGCCGAGCTTCCGTGGTGCGTCGTCGGCCTGGCGGCGTCGTAAGACTGCCTTGGCGGCGTCATCGGGCGACAGCCGGCCGCGCATCGTCAATGGTGCCGCCGGACCTGCCGCCCGCCCTGCAGCCGCCGACGTGATTCTGGACTACGCCCGCGCCCCTCTCCCCCCCCCCCCTCCTCCCCCCCTCCTTCCCCTGCTTCCCCCCCCTTCCTTGCTGCAGCCAACGACTGCCT